GTCACCTAGCAGCTGGTGGCCAATGCAATTTGTGCATGCGCCCGCCACGTCCAATCTGAAAACAGCTAAACACCTGATGACCTCTGACAATGTTTGTCTGTCAGATGTAGAAACACAGTATGGCAATATGGCAGCTGCTGACTAAACAAGAAATACTCATTTTATTTAAACCAAGAAATGCAATTCCTGTTACACTTAAATGGAAAAATAGAAAACAATGTGCTAGTTCTTGCAAATTCGTATTCACTCAACATCAAATTGAACAAAGCACTTTCAGTGGCAGTGCAGTCGCCATTCAGTACAAGACTTGCAGATCAGTATATCTTTGTTCATACTTGAAAAGTCAAGGTTAAATATGTTTAGAAGTGGACATGTCATTATTATCTGTGCCATCACTGGAAAACACAACACAGGCAGAGGTACCAGTAAGTTTCAAAAGGTCAATGACAAAAGTCACTGCTTAAATAAAAAGCAATCAGGCTTACCACTCAAAAAAAAAAAAAAAAAAACGCAAAATTAAAATATGTCAACACTTGCAGGACCCGAATTTTAAAAGTTTACAAGGAATCCTCAAAACCCTTAGGACATGTTTTCCAAGGAACTGTGTTCAATCAACACGACTGTGCAACATGCCAAAGCGTGACACTTTTCCAGCAAATGAAACTATGGTAACGTTACAACTGGCCGCAATACAGCATCAGCTGCTCAGCCTCATTAATGTCACTTACTAGGACATGTCCAGAAGCTGGTCCAGGTCCACACCTCTATAGGTGAACTTCCTGAAGGTACGCTTTTTCTTGATCTCGGCATCCGCCTAGAAAAAACATCACTCTCGTCAGCAGCAATATATAAGCTCTATTGTTAGCATTTACATTTGAATACATATACTAAACATCAACTAGTCTCAAAGCCACTGTTACACCTACGACGTTTATTTACTATCGCACAAGAACGGCAACTTTTTACAGACTGTAACAGGCCAACATGTTAGCTTAGCCACAGACGGCCATTGCTCAGGGTAATAACGAGTTAAGAAACATTTTATTTTGCATTTTGAGCAATGATTTTCTGCTGAATGGCCACTGAATGTCGGCTACTCTCGGATGATATAACTAGCTATTATGATAAGTAATATAGCGCTCAGATGGATATAGATAATATTTTGATAGTATCAGGATCAGTTGAATACCCACCATATTGCCCGATGTTCCGGAGGAAAAGAACGGCCAGAAGTCTCGTTAGGTCTAATATCGCGCGATTTAAGACGAACATCCGGTGTATTTTCTGGCGTTAGTATCTTCTGCAAACAGTAGATGGTGCAGTTATGCCATACCAAGTTATGGTTTATTATTCGTTAAAAATTAAATTAATTCGTTAAAAATCAAAATTGAACCCAGTCTTAGTTTTACATACTAGGAGTAGAGGAAAAACTAGACCTAAAAAATAGTACTAGCGCATGAATGGTTTGTTTGGTTTTTGAGAGACATGTAGCCTACTAAATAAAACCATAATTTGTAAATTGTAAGTAGCCTACAATTTTGAGGTACCTAGTACTTTACTCTTTTCCATTTGATCACCACTAGAATAGGCTACTTAGAGAGAAATATACTTTTTACTGCACTGCATTTGACAGTTACTTTCAGATTAGAATGGTGGCAACTATGTGATAATGACAGTGGATTGTTTAATGTATTGTTTGTCTGCTATAAAATTCTGCCATAGTTTCATTAAAAGAAATGTAACCATTAGTTATCTAATGACACCCCAAAATAATCTTGTGGAGGCCTGGTACTTAGGTTGGGAACCAGTGAACTACCTAAGTGTATAAAAGTAGTTAGCTATAACAGATTTTTCAATATTTACAATCTAATGACATATGTAACAGATCAGCAGTTGTGCAAGTGCACTGCACATTTAGGCTTCTCTATCTTTACTTAAGTAAATTGAAGTAGTTGTAATCCATTTTTACATTATGTTGGTACTCGTACTTGAGTAAAAGATGTTAATATTTCTTCCACCAATGTATATTTACTGAAGTATGAGAGCTTAGTTGAGTGTCTTTATTTTGAGACACACTACCACATTTCAGATAAAATTGTAATATGACTATATGGTATTTAACAGACCCTTGTGTCAGAACTTGTGGCTTGAGGTTAAAGGTAACACATTCTTTTGAATGCTTTCATGAACAATAATGATAAGGACCTCTGTTTTAATATCACTTAGCTAGGGAGATTTTGGGACATCCATATAGTAAGCACGATTACATAGTTTGAAAGCTGGACTTGAATTTATAATGACGTTTGTAATGATGTTGTAATAAAGTGGTTTTCTTTTTTCAGATTACTGCTGTTAAAGATTTTCAGTGTCCTTTGGTTTAAAGGACTGATAACTGTGGAAAGACTATTCTCAGAATTTCCTCATGGGGACTGATAATCTATACAATCAATATGGAAAGTATTCAGACCCTTTCAAGTTTTACATATTTTGTTATGTTTCAGACTCATGCTACAATGGATTCATTTCAGTTTTTTCCTCATCGATCTACACAAAATACTCCACAATGATAAAGCAAAAATAGGTTTTTAAATTTATTAAAAATAAAATACTGAAATATCCAATTTACACAAGTATTCAGAACCCTTGTTACAATACAGTACTTGCAATTGAGCTCTAGTGTATCCTCCTCCTATCAATGGTCGAGATGCTTCCACAGCTTGATTAGAGTCCCCTTGTGCCTAATTTAATGCACTGGATAGAATCAGGAAAGGCACACACCTGTTTGTACAAAGTCTCACAGCTGATGGTGTAAAACAAAGTCATGAGGTTGAGAGAACTGTCCACAGACCCACGAGACAGGATTGTGTAAAGACACAGATCTGGGGAAGGATACAAGAACACTTCTGCAGCATTGAAAGTGCCCAAGAGCACGGTAGCCTCCATCATTGTCTCTGGAAGAGATTTAAACCACCACCAGTCTTCACAGATCTGGTCACCCAGCCAAACTGAACAATCGGGGAATCAGGGCCTTGGATGCAGAAAAATATAAAGCAACTCTGAATGAAAACCTTCTCCAGAGTGCTCAAGGCTGGGGCAAAGGTTTAGATTTAACAAGACAACAACCCGAAGCATACCGCCAAGAAAACACAGCAGTGTCTTCAGGAAAGCTCTGTGAAAGTCCTGGAGTGGCCCAGCCATAGTCTGGACCTGAACACAATAGAGCGTCTCTGGAGAGACCTGAAAACCATCCAACCTGGTTGACCTTGAACAATTCATCCAAGAAGAATGGAAGAAAACTCCAAAAGAAAGATGCTGAGCTTGCAGCTTCATTCTCAAGAGGAATTGAGGCTGGTGATGTTGCCAAAGGTACTTTAAACAAGTACTAAGTGAAGGGTCTGAATACTGATGTAAATGGGATATTTCAGTCTTTTATTTTTAAGACATTTTCAAAACTGTCAAAAAGCCTGTTCTCTCTTCATCACTGTGGCATATTGTTTGTAGATTGATGAGAAAAAAAATTAATAAATTTTGAGTCTGAAATATAAAATATGGAAAACTGTGTTGCCCGCTTTCTTTCACATCCATTTAAGAAAACAAAAAAACCTAAACCAACCCCCTCAGACTGCAACTAAGCCCTCATAAAGCCTAGAGAAAATCCTGCAGGCTGTGATGTACATAGGGAAAGTTTACCTTTTTTCCCATGGGGGCATTTACAAATGCATACCATTTTAAAACTTCTTGGTATTTAGCCAATGTTAAGTGGAACTTAACATTGTTCTCGAGTGGAAAAGCCAAAGCTAACTTGAGACATGGAATAAATGAATCAGAACTATTTCCATGGCTACATACTACTAGAAGGGAAGAGAGAAAATGTTATTTATAAGGTGAACCAACCTTTATATAGTGCATGTCTGGTTTATGGAGGCTTTGCAGTATTCTACAGTAGTGTGCAGTAATGTAGTAATTTTGCAACCTTGTGCACTAAAAGCTAGTTGTTTCACAACATTTCCCATCTTTTAACACACCACCCAAGTCTAGTTCATTATCTCATTTCGTGTCATTTCTTAAACTCTTCTCACATTCTTGTTACTTAACAGCTAACAATTCAAAGCATCTGCTGACTAAGGAGTTAGTCACAGGCCTGTCCTTTTGTTACATTTGTTTTAAAACAAAGCACACCACCACGATATAATGAATACACATCTTTATTACATCATATTCAATACACATCATATTCACAAATCATTTGACTTCCCCCCATTGGCATAAGAATTATTCCAGAGGGGAAAGTAAACTCATATACCAAATGTTATTCTGATTCTAGGTACAAAACAGCCCCTGTTCAAATCACAATTATGCATAAATAATAATAATCAAATAGTCATAATTGGTTTGCATATCAACCAATATTTAAGATTCACTTAAACATTATTCACTGACACAAAAGAATCCAGTATTCTTACTTGGAATGTTCCAAACTTCACTTGAGTATTACTTTATCCACTCCTCCACTTCACTGTATTCAATCTAAAGAAAACAAGCCCAACTCCAGCTGGAGCGGTTAAATAAACAGAGGAAATTTTTCCTCCATGAAAGACAGAAAAAAAAAGACAAGACTTTGTTCCTTAAAGAAAAAAAAAGTTGTTTTCTTCTTTATATGTCAATGACCAATACTGAAGGGCTGAAGATGATGCTGAACAAACAAATGCACATCCACAGGATTACAGAAAGTAATTGTTTACACAGATGAAACATTTGGGTATTTTGATGAAAATTGTGGGGTTTTTTTTGTTTTGTTTTTTTCTATGAGACTCCCTAATGTTTCACTTTCAATTTCATAGTGCTGTTAGGGACTTAGGGATCTTCCTTAATGTAACTAATGAGTCAGCAAAAATCGGGGGGTGGTTTAGTGATATATATTTTTTTCCCTTTAGAAAAAGAAAAAAAATATCCCTGGACAAAAAGGACTACCTAAGCCCAAAAAACTGCCTTTTGTGGTCACTTTAAATGTTTGTTTTTTTTTAAGTCACAAATATAGTTCATTGTAATGTGTAACATTGGTTTTGCACAAGTAGGGGTAAGAACATTTTATACAATACTAAAAGAATGTGGCCTAAAAAAAAAAAAAAAGTACCACATACTCTGGATATAAAAATAACCCCCCTGCCATGATGTATTCTTGCAGAACATTCTTCTTCCTAGTAATCTGTCCTGTCATGGTACCCGTGCTCTTCTTCCTGGTAACCCTGGTAACCCTCATCTTGGTAATCTGGGATGAAGTCTTGGGCACCGCCTGCCCCACTCTGATCATTTCCAACCTCTCCACCTTTAGGGCAGTACTTAGCGTCGTAGATCTGGCGCCCCAGGCCAAAGTTTTGGCCACTTTGGTTGGCTCCATGGGCGTATCCCATCTGGAGGGACATGGTACTGTTGTCGCACTTGTCTGTGCCCAGCTTTTGGTCATAAATGGCACGTCTTGTCCCTGGAGCAGTCATCCCAGCCTGTAGTAGATGCAAAGGAATAAGAATACATTTAAAGCTACAGAATGCAACTTCAGATAGCACTAGCATGAAACACCAAATCAATCCACTCCATCCAGCACTCCCTCTCCACTACACTCCATCACACTCTGCTTAGCTCTTCAGATGCTTGTTGTTATGAAATGACAATGAGAATGCAACAAAACTTACTGATCAAGCAGAAATAATTGAAAATCTCATTGTTAAGAGGTCAATCCATCTCAAAACCTTTTAGAAGCTAATATCTCTGCACTGCTGTTCAATGAGTCTGGGTCACAGGAGGCTTTGACAGCACCTTTCCACATTAAGACAAGTTTTGGAGGAGTTTTCTACAACAAAAATATTTGAAAAATTTATACTGTGGCTTTAGTTTACTTTCATTTTTTTAGTGTTATAATAGATAATATAATTATTTTTCCTGTATGGCTGTTAAAGTGCTGATTTCACTCAGCCTATTTTCCCTTATACAAAGTCCCAGAGTTCAGTTTTCTACAAGCCTAAACATGACATGCTTACAGCAATGGAAAGACCGGGGAATAAGTAAAGCCTTGAGACTTGTTTACACTGCAGTCCTACAACACCGAACGTAGGACAAGCTGGGACTGTGTTGCAGTACCTGGCTTGCCCCCCTGTTGGTTCCCATTTGCAGACCGATGGTTGTGTTGTCCATTGGGGGCTGGATTTGAACTTTAGGGTCATATAAATGCCTCCTGGTGCCATATGCATTCATACCTGCCTGACTGGCACACTTGTTGGTCCCCATCTGGAGGAGAGAGAGAGAGAGAGAGAGAGAGAAAAAAAACAAAACTTTATACTTATCAAAAGACTTCTAGAAAAAAAAACTTGCTGCACAATATCAGTGTATTTTCATAATTTTAAACAAGTGTGAGTGATGTTTATACAATCACAACACCAGGCACACATATGCTTTCAGCATTTCAGTCAGTAAACACTAAGTTGTAGTGCAGGTTCCGCCCACTGTTTAGGCAGCACTCATATCTACAGACATCTTTCTTGGCGCTGGAAACAATAACAAAACAAGAGGCTTAAAGGGTGTGAGAACAATGATAAACTCATAAACACGAGTATGCCATACTTGGCATGAGATCATGACAAAGTCTGGTTTCACATGCAGTAGTGAGCTTGGCTGACCAAGCATGTGACGTGACTCACCTCTGCCAATACCAGCCAAAGACATCACATCAGTAAGCTGTCAATGTACTTCTTGAGTGGTACCCTCTCCTCCCTTTTTGCTGGTTTGATTAGTTTCAGATCTCAAACTCTCCACATTTTAAACCCGCTCACTCAGGAGCCTCCAAACAAACTATACCTGCAGGCCGATGACGCAATGTCCAGCCTTCATCTTCTCCTCATCAAACATCCTCTCCTGCTTGTCGGCATACTTCACCCCGATGTCCATCCGCGACTGGCAGCCCTTGGTCTTGGCCTGAGAGAGAATACAGAATAGGTTGTCACAGTGAATCGAATCCCACACCACGACAACAATTTCCTGTGACAGGGATGACGAAAAATATTACTCCTAATGCCAGAGTCTGGATTTTGAGGACTCACCATGCCAGCCAGAGCGAGCAGCGTTGTCTGAACCTGGGTCATGTTGCCGCTCTCAAACAGGTCATTGGCTTCAAAGATGTCATGAGGCTTCAGGCCGTACTCTGTGATGGCTTTGATGAAGTTGGTCAGGTTCTCCAGCTAAAGCCACACCAATTTAAACAGTGTTAGATTTAGAAAGACAGATGTGACCATTTCTGTTTGCATACCATTGCACTCTTATTTGTAAAAACACTTTGTAATCTCAAATACGGGAGTGTGTTTGCAGTGACTCGTTACACCTCGGAAAAGAAGCTTACAACACTGCTGACTTGCAAGTGTAACCATGAGCTGGCATGATTCAGTGAGCTGGCAGAAAAACACAATAGCACAGGGGAGTATTTGTTCACTAGGTACAAAAGAGAGTCTCTAACGGCATGCAACATCATCATTTCCATTAATGGACTATTGCTATATAAAAAAAATTTTTAAAAGGCAGAGAGAAAAACTGCTGCCACACCCTGAGTTAGTTAAAAAGTATGCGTCATCCATTATCTCACCTGGTGCCAGTTCAGTGCCGACTTGTTGATCTTTTTCACTGAGCCTGGTTGTAGTTTGTTGATAAGTCTGATAGAAGAGCAGAAAGAAATGGGGCAAAAATCATTTGGTTTTCCAAACCCCTGTACATAAAGTAACACGGAATCAAACAGGCAATATGTGATCTCTGCTTACTCGCACAGAATGACTCCATTCTTCAGGCCTTTCTGAAAGTCAGGGCCTATGGAAGAGCCAGTGATTTCTTCGATCCAAATCCTCAGCTCCTCCTCTTTCTGAGGGTCATACTTCTGTGCAATCTGGTTGGGTAGAAAGGTCAAAGGTCACATGTGATTCACCAGAAGCTACAACAGCCAGTCTGTGATTTGTTAAGCAGGAAATACATTTCTAGAATTCAGTCCTTTTTGTTCTTTCTTGCCCTTACAACTTAAATACACCGATAACCGAGCTCTGTAATAGGAACAGAGCTATAGATATTCACATATCACATGCCAACATTTGTCCTCAAAAGTGTATTGTGACTGCTTGTAATCATGTTTCATGGTCACCCTAGAGAAGTGCCCGGTCTGTCTTATTAGGATATAAACAGAGGTGATGCTGACATGACCCAACGCACACGCATGCGGATATCCTGTTTGGTGAACTGCTAAATCCCTTCCTAAAGCAAGGATGGCAGTTGCTGAAAAATAGCAGCCTGGCACAAAGCCAGACTTTCTAGAGAGGAGAGTGATTTTGAGGTGTTACTTTGATACAAGTGTGAAACATGCTGCACTGGCTCCAAAAGAGGCCATTCAGGAGAAGAGTTACCATCATCTAAACAACTCTTCCAATGTGCTGTGTAACAAACTAGAAAGCAGAAATGAAATGCTAGTAAACATGAAGCGGGTAAACATTTTCTTCTGTTTCAGTGAAGGACAAGGTGTCGAATGACAAGCAGCACACTACGGGCTCCCTCTGTTCCAGAAGGCAAGAAGATCCTAAACTGCAGTGTAAAGTGCTATATAAACAAAGTTAGCCACACAGCTGGTTGTACTCTAAAGGAAATTTTGTTCTAATTACATTTCCTTCATCCAGTTATCCACATATAAAAGCAACACTGCTATTTCAAATTGCCCACAAAGAATCCTACAGATGCAATTTGCAGACAGAGTGAACACAAGGAATTTAGCCCTTAGTGCTTGGATTAAAGAGCTGAATGAAGCAGCAAGGGCATCAGACTGTGTGTGGATCCAATAAATGAACAGGAGGGTGGTCCCCAGGCATCTCTTCAGTCCCCCTTTCAAGGACACCACCAGTCGGAGACAGAGGAAATCTGTGTGTTTTCTTTATGTTCGGCACATGTTCTTCTGCAGAGATTTAGGGAGGGGACATAACCCTCTCCTCCATACAAGGCCAAAGCCAAAGAATGCAGGTGGGGGTCACAATGGAGGGTGAGTTAAAGAAAGTGATATGTGTCAAAAAGACTGAGCAAATCTAAGGACATCTGTGGCAGATGAGCTGCAACTTAAACTACCCTTTCCTTTTTTAGTGAGAAAGAGGAACAAAGTTGAAAGCTAGCAAATTAATGGTATTACACAGTAGCAATAGACACTTCCCCTGTATTCAAATAAATAAAAAGTTCTCAAAGTTATGCAGCTCGGTGTGAAACAAATAACTTCATCGGGAAATTCTTCTCCAACATCAGGCCTGGTATTTTAAATGGATCCGGATGTGCAAAGATCTGCAAATAAAACACGCTGCTTTCCTTATCAAGGCCGCACTCAAAAAGAAAATTACACATTGCCAGAAAAGCAGGGTCAGTTTGGAGAGTCTGTGAGAATTAGTCACACGATGCCCTAGTTTTAAAAACCAGGTGAAATCTGACTCCTCGCACTGATCTGACTTTATTCGAAAGAGGCAAAATGTAACTGTGAAAACCAGCACGATACCACAAAGGGAGGAGCAGGAAACTATTCTTGGCATTTCAAATGAGCAAAGACAGGAAAGAAGCGCAGCATCGAGGTATAATGGCTTTCAGCCCACAGACTAATGGGCGAATTTGCGGGACAACGCCGGGCACAGGGAAGAGACAGAGCTGGAAACAGGGATAACAATTTTTCCACAACGACACACTTCATTGCCAAGAGGGCCAACGCCCATAGTCTGCATTTAAGTTAGCCGCCTGCACGGGAACACTGAAATTTAGCTTCTCAAACACTTTTTCAAACTAAATCTCTACCGACACTGTCTCTCCATCCACCTCTTACTTAACCGGGGCGTGCTCATCAAAATGGAGGCCAGGTGACTCGGGGAGAGGCGTCAAGCTGTGAGTGGACGACGGGAGGAAAGTCAGTACAACTCACTTTATATGATATATAAATGTGTACACCTACCTTGTTTTTGACTTCCGCGGATAATCCGTAGGCAGGACCTTTGTTAAAAGCCATTGTCAAAGAGTCGTGATTTTTTTGTGGCGATAAAAAGAAAACTACTCGAGAACAAAAACTGCGCTAAATTATCTTTAACTTTCTCCCCCAATGAAACCTCAGAGTGAACTGAATACTTCCTTTCTCTTTTACGGCCACCAATTACAGCGCTCCCACGGTTTCTACCAAAGAGATTACATTCAAGAGTCAAGATAGTTCACTGCGAATCCGGAGCAATGTAGTAGCGCGTTAGCTCGAGGGTGCTTCTTGTATGAGTATCACCTGTTAAAAAAACATTTAATGAATATTCAACACAAGGATTTAACATGTTAGAACGTAACATGAAACAGGAGCATAATGCTGTGTTTTTACACAGGCTAACTCAACAAAGCCACTTAGGATGTACAGTTGAAGACCCTTATCTGATGAGGGGACCACACGGTCTAATATTGGCTTTACATTTTAATTTTAAAACGGAAGTGTCAGGGGGCTCAGCACTATGCCATAAATGTATTACCATTTAAATTTTTAATTTTTCTTGTCAAGCTTGTAGCCCAACATTGAATAGCTTTCACATCATCTTCAAAACATCAGGTAGCCTATATAATCAGTGAATATTGTCAATATTGACGATGCCTGTGTCATGACATGCTAAAAACACAGCTATAAATCACCTAGCTAGCCTTATGGAGCCCCCCTCAGAACAGTAGACCTTGTGTAAACCAGTACATTCCCATTATAAAAACATTTGCGCTCCAGCAAGTACGGTAGTCCGCAGATAGGAGTCCTCTTGGTACTCGGTTCCTCCTTTGGCTGTGCGCTTCTTTAATCGATCCTAGGCTCCACCTTTCCCTTTCTCTTCCTTTAGGTCGCGATTGATATCAAAAACTCCTTATAAGGAGGGAAACTTCCCAAATTCCTAAATGGTGGGAGTGATCCAGAGGTCCCACCCTGCATACCAGACGTGCAGCGGACCAGACAAATTGTCGCACTTTTTCGAGTCACAGACGATTAAAAAAGTTTTGAGGAAGGAAACTTGGCAAAATGACCTACTGAGGTGACGTAATGTCCATGTTATGTGGTTCCTAGATAACAGACATCTTCTCTTGGCTTGCCAGGATTTGTAAAACTGGTCCAGAATAACATCTGATGGTTCTAAAGTGAATGTAGAACAACAGTTAGCACGACAGAACTGCTTCCTTCTGTACAAGTTAATGAAACAGAATATATTAGTATATAATATAGGCCTTTTCTGGGAATGAACATTTAGTTTAAAACTCCTATAACGTTTACTTTCAGTTAAATATTACGGATTCTTCTGAATGTGAACCCCCCCCCCAACTTATATTTTGTAACAGGAAATACTCCCTGTGACACTGTGACCCAGTTGTTTTCTAGACCAGCCATAATCTAGTTTTGGACAATAGTGTTATTGTTCAAGATAGGAAAATGAAGCTGGACATAAGATGCTGCTAAATACCTTGAAAAATAAAGTTTGCTTCAGCTAGTCTTGTTCAACAGAACATTTTAGCAGCTTCTTGTCAAAAAGCTGGATCTTATTTTGAGTCAAACGTGTTCACCTTTGGTGGGGATTGAGAGGCTAAACACATGGCAGTTCCAGTTCCTGAGATGTAAGGTTTCAGCCTCTTTGTCACATTAAACAGAAATTTTATTTATTTTTTCTTGTTGAACAAAAAATGCTAATTGAATACACAGTGTTGGGCTCTGGGAAATTATAATTGGTATTTTCAGTATTCACTATATCTTATAGACAAAGCAATTGATGGGTTTAAGACAATAATCAGATTATTCAATGATGAAAATTATGACTGCTTAATGACATCATCAGCAGATTGCCATGAATTGCACAACCTCAACCCAGCAGTGTTCTGGCTGAATTTGAACCCCTCATTATACATGCTGGCTTGTTCTACTCAAAGGATGGGAAGTGAAATCTTGCAATGGCAATAATGACGCAAATCCAGGTCTGTCTCCTCATAAACACAGCTGTATTTCTCAACCTCTATATGGCAGGTGATTACATTATATAGGTGATCAGAAGGCTGATTCAGAGTAGACACATCTAAGGAGGAGAACTACTCATCCTGACGTCTGTGACGAGATTACTTCAGCTCACCAAGTCATCAGGAGTGACATGACTATGATGCCCCTGACCCTATCAGACATGTAGGGACCTGTTTGTTATCTCTGCTGAGGCTAACAGTGCTACTGAAAACGTCACTTTAGTACACACAAGCCCATTTCTTTACCGGAGTTAACAATTCCAGGCATAGATATATATAAAAAAAAAAACTGAAAATGACAGTTTTTTTTATGGGGTCATTACAGTCCTAAAACAAGTACAGGGCTGACCAGTTCTCACCGAAAAAATTCCTCGTACCATCCTACTCTTACATCATATATGAATGCTGACAAAAGACAACGTGCACCCCCACATGGATGAACTGGGTAAGTGCAACAGATTACAGCATAATGCAATGAGGGTCAAAACAAAAGGCACAAGTGTGCAGGACTCCAACTGACCGTTTAGTTTACATGGGACAAATATTCAGGGCTGGTGACAAGAGTTAAACAGTGGCAATGTAAAAGACCTGCAAGTCAGTTGACTGAGCTGAAGATTTAGATCATTTTATTTTTCAAATAATTGAGAGATGTTAAACACAGAACAAAACAACATGCCCCAGTCAAAACTCCAGAAAACAGATTCTTGTCGACCAGTTGTAGCACTTTTCCTTTATTGCTGCTGTGTTGCTGTGCAGTTTCTCATTGTCTGCAGCTTCACCCTTGCTAAATCAGCGTATACAAAAAAAGTGAACCGAAATGGTGCATATTCCAGCGTCATGTTGATCACAGGATTTGGAATTCTCACACATAAACCCAGCTCTGTGGACAAACATGTTTTATGTGGAAGCAAATCCAGATTAACCATTTTACCAAGGCACATTGGTAAGGGATGAATGACTGAAAGAATGAATGGACAGAGAGACTGCGCAGTGGCCAATCTTACATTGTGAGGGAAAAAGTGGTGGTGACTGGTGAGTATAAAGGGAAATCAAAATTAGTTGTCACATGGAAAAATGCCAATATCTGATGCACACAGCTTTCTCTCTCCCTTTTGTTTGTTGCATTTATTGAAGCAAAAGAAATGCTACCTCAAACAGCATCCTAAATGTTTTCTAAAACATCTGAAATAACTTTAAATATGTTTGAAACTTTGAATAAACTATGGACACCGTAACAAGTGAGAGCATCAGTTACTATTCACACTTGAATTAATTGATGAAATGCCAACAAGTTTTCAATGTATGTACAAGTGCATAAGAAGTCTCAGTCCTGTACATTCACAAAGGCTGTTTAACTCAGGAAAATATTGTGAAGGAATTTCAGAAATAATATCTAAAGGAATGGAAACAAAGTGAGTTCTACCATTCAAACATTTGGTTTTGTCTCTCAAATGCAAGGATTGATCTGAACCATCTGACTTGTCATTCAATAATATTTTAAGTTTGGGAGAGAAACAGTGGGTGGCAAAAGTTTTCATTGTAGTAAAATTCAAATTTTAGCACCATAGTATTCTGTTGAAACCGTATTTTTCAAAATATATTTCTTCTTGAGTACTGAGATGGCGCTGACTCATATAAGACATGTGACAAGAAGGAGAGAAAGAGAAAGAAGGGTGGAGTATGGAATGTCGATAACCACATGCATTGGTCAATCTTAAAGACTGACCATACAGAAGCATTTTGTATGCCCCCTTTAATGCTCAAGATTAATCAGACAATGTTGTGATGCAAACAGGAGAAAAACAGAAATCTACAGGCCTTTGAACATGTTTCGAAAAACGCACCATTAATGAACTGGTCAAAAATAAATATATGTATACATGATAAGAACTTTATAATTTACTCTTTATACCTCAGATAAAGCTTCTTGTTGCTGCCAAATATGCTGCAGTAATTCGTGCTCTGGACATGTTCAGCTCTACCTGTGCTAGATGAACTCCATCAGCACCTTTCTGGGCACCAACATGGCGGTCTGGACAGGACAGCTAAACCCCAGCCTTCCTTTAAATTTAACTCTAGAATGTTGTAATTCCTAATTAGAAACTATAAAGTATGAGACGAGGGCAGCATCATCCCAGTGAGCCTGAAACAGGTACACAATTCAAAACCTTAAAAAAATCCCATCATATTACCTTTTGTGGTTGTCTGGGGTAATTCTGTCCTCTCTTTTTTGCGTTCTGTTAATATTATTCTGTCACAGAGCGCTGCAGCTAGGGCCTCATCATTCCTGTGTCTTTCCATTTGAAAAATAAAACAGAAACAGCCCTTGGTATAACAAACTCAACTATTTTTTAATCTTCACTCTTTTTATATCACAATCTAAATAGATTTATCACAGAAAGAGGAAGAGGCATTATGGGGAGTTTAGCAGGCCTGGCTTTTGCCAAACTCACAGTGGACAAACAAAATGTGTATCTTGTCTCTGTGGGGGAGACAAAAAGGAGTTGAAAAGGACAGCAACCTTCTCAAAACCCTCAGTCTAGGTAAACATATGGCAGGATGTTCAGTTTGCTTTCATCCCCATGAGGGTCCAATGATATGCACTCTGTCCAATCATACCAGGTGCCCTTGGTGTCATAGCAACCATTCACCCCCGGCCAATGCCGTGTGTGTATCCTGTCCAGGTCCTCGCCTGTCACCTCTCGGCACACGCCTGGTAAATCCCCTACTGAGCTGTCCGTTTGCAGAACGTGCGTCTTCTTCAACTCTTTAATCTCCTGTTCTTCCCTTTTCAGATATTCTGACATGAAAAAGTGTGCACTAGGAGCCCGGACCCCTGAAGATGTGAGCATATTGCTCTGAAGGTTCAAGTAGGACTGGATGATTTCATTTCTGGATAGCTCCTTCCAGTTTGTCTGGTGAAAAGGGTTAGGGCTAGGCTCTGGAGCTGTGGAAGCTGACTGTTGTACAATGCTTTCAATTTTCTGCCTAGACTCAGCAGGGTCAGGAGTGGGAGCTTCATCTGTTTGAGAAGGTTCTTTATGTACCAGTGGTTTGATCTGACCTGTGACAGGGTCAAATGTTAGTCTGCGTTCTTTTAACCGTACAGGTTTGGTCATGTCTTCTAGTTTCTGACCATCTAAGTTGACAGAATAGTCTCTAGACCTGTACTTCCTCCTTTTATGCTCCAAGTTGGGCACCACTGTCCCGTCTGTGTCATCAGACATAGCCATGGGTCCCTCAGATGTCGGTCTGTGTAGTTCTGAATTCTGCTGGGAGAGAGCGGGTGAAAGGGAGACTGATGGGGATTCCAGTGTTGCAGATATGTCTTGTGATGGGCAATGAGAGGGGACCTCTGACAAACTGGCCCAGTGCCCTGAATACCTAACAGAAGAATGTGGCAGCTTGTCAGCATAAGATGCTTGGGCTGGGGAGGATACAGGCTGAGGAAAAGACAAGGGAGAGTCCCTAGAGGAAGGGCTGGGGACAGGTGTTCCTTTCGGTGCATATGCTGAAGAGCGTTTGGTCATTGTGTCTTGCTTCATGTTCCTTGGACTGGTAGAGACACCACGGGGACTTCTGGCTTGATAATAGCCACCTCCTCCTCCTTCATCCAATCTGGCCTGTTGCTGCATTACAGCAACCTTGATCAAAGAGGAAGTGCTAGGTAGTTTGGCAACACCTGGGGAGCTGGGGCGAGGTTTGACAGCGTTAACTGGAATTCTGTTGATTTTATCATTATCAAGGTGCTCCATTCGAGATCTGTCGGGAGACGGGACTACCTCTTGGTCAGGCAGAGCATCTGGACTACCTGCAATCCCATTAGTGGGTGGTGATGAAACAGAGTTATCATATGAAGACATCTTGGAAATTTTTTCTGGTAAGTGCGCTCCACTGTCTCTGTGCTCAGCCCGGCGCTTGCGGCTGCTTGATTTCTCAGCTTTCGGGGAATATGTGTTGTGAACATCATTTCTGGTTTTGACTTCAGTGACACCCTTCCCTGACACAGAAATATCAGGAGGAGAGGGATCTGTTCTGCCGGGATGAGAACTGCCATTAGTAGACCCAGGGGTACTCGCAGGCACAGTTGGCCCAGGTTCAATCAGCTTTTGCCAATTCCGTAAGAGTTTCTTAGCACGCTTTGCAAGGTCTTCATCCGTGGTCTTCTTCCTTACATCGTTGATCAGTTTTCCTAGTCGAGTTTCCTATATAAACAGTATGTGCGACAGTCAGAAACAAGTAACACAAATTTTGCATGAACCAGCAGCTTCTATATAGTCCACTGCCTTACCTCAAGTGCTTCTTTGGTGATAGGATACTTTTCAAGACAGGCAATTACCTCCAATACAACCACCATATTGCATATCTGTAGGGAGGGCAAACAAACATTTTGTAATACTTCACCTCAACACAATACAAATATTTTGTACTAGCATAAAATCAGACGCATTAAGTGACATTTTTAAACACACTCCTGATATATTACACAAGGCAATGCCACTGACTGTCAGTAACGTGATTAACCATTTCTCCTAAATGGAGGTGATGCTAGAAGCGCTCAAGCATTTTGGACAGACTCAAAGCCGATGAATAGCAGCTGCAACCATGTGTACTAGGGCAGGTTAGCTAGTAAGTTAGCTTAGGAAACACGATCTTGTCCGCCTGTTTTCGAGCTATAGAACAATATTGAAAAGTAAAGATGGTGAAGTGTTAACTCATAAAACCTTCATCACCTTAACCAAAGTGTAGCATGCGAACAAAAAGTCAAACTTGAATTCAACTAAGTTTCTTAACTTAGTTGAATTAAACCTACGTGTGCACTTTATCTTGGTAAAAGTTACCGCTATCATTTAACTAAGTTGAGAAGGAAGGATCCGACTATTTCCTAAGACGAAGCTCTAACATTAGTTAATCATGCTAAGTGTGCTAACGTTAACGACCTCACACTTTATTAATATGGATATTTAGGTGCGAAATGGTGTATAATGAAAACCTGGCTAATTGGTACAACATACAGATTATTTAAAGGTGAAATAAGTAATATCAGGTAACGTTTGCATTTATGTTACTTCATACCGTTCAAACTCGCTTTGGCGTTACAGCTAGGCTAGTAGCTAGCATGCTATGTAAACCAGATAACGCCAGATTACTGTCTGGCCAAGGTAACGCAGCTGCTTAGTTAGCTTACAAACTGTCAGCCGAAGCGCGCAGCGTCTCTCCGCCTTTCGTACCAATTCAGGATGTCGATCCTAACCCAGAACGTAAAACATGCATTTTTAAAAACAAAACAGTTAGGTGACAGCTCTTGGGCGACCTGCCTCATCGAGTTGGTCGGAATGCAGGTAAACAAGCTAATGTTAGCTAGCTAGCCCCGCTAGCTTTAGTGATACTCACATTGCTCTGACTGTCGATGGCCTGCAGCAGCCGGTCCCTCATCTGCTGCGGGGTTGCTGAGACCGTTGTCATTGCCTGTTCGGTGCGATCCGGAGGATGGAGGGAGGAATCCTCCAAAATGAAAACCGAGTGACAACTGTGACTCAAAATCCGCTGCGGTAACACGTCAGGCGTCCGAACAGCATATTTTTCTGTCGCCCGTAAGATAGAGGGCTCCGTTTGTCTCACATGGAGTAGGAAATGTATACGCTGTGTTGACCGTTGGCTGGTACCCGCTCGGCGCTCTAGCAACTCACTACCAGCTGCTGGATGTCTCACCGGCCTCCTGCTGCATGCTGGGATACAGAGTCTGCGCTTTGACGTCGCACGTACACAAGTAAACATCCCTGCTGTACACCTGCACCCCACTGTGGGTATTCCTACATCTATGGGGTATACCCCACTGCTTCCTTTTCACTATAATAAATTCATTTTAAAAGGCATATCAGTGGTATGAATGAACCTCGAATAAAGGTTAATCAGCATTAGGATAAAAATGTCAAAATTGTGGACAGTGTCACAGTTTCCCATAGGAAAAGGTAATACATTCAAATTACCTTCCCAGTCCAAAACTGTGAATTTAGCAGAGAAGGGAAGCAAATCCCCATTTTTGGCATTTTACTTGATAAATGATTTTTTCCATAACTGCATCATTCACTAAATCTCTCTCATACTCATTTGAGGCAAACCTTTAGAGAAATGTTTAATATACACTGCCAGTCAAAGGTATGGTCATATTCAACTGAGTGGGGAAATGTGTTCAACCTTTTGACTGGTAGTGTAGATGTATTTAATCACAACATGTATGTAATATGAATAATTCTATCATTATATTACAGCACTCCACCAGCAGATGGAGCCCACGGTATAAGTAAATAAACGAAAACCTTCCAATTATAATTGTTGCCTTGTGTAGAAAAGAAATCCTACCACCAATCACCTTGCTCCTTGCTTTTGTCATACCCATCCCACATGCAAAATGTCCACTATCAACTCTGCAAAATTGTTAGTGTGGTTAGAGTGGGAGATGCAGGGCAAATGCCGTGCGCAAAGCTGTGGAGTGGGTGAGAAAGTTATGCCAGTTATGGGGGTTGCAATCATCATGCAACTGCTTCTTCAGTTCTTTGTTTGTAATACTTTTTTGCAGCCCACTGAATGATAGTAATGATTAAAGAACTGTCTTTTCTTATTCATATATATTTATTTTTATTTCATTTACTAATATTAATGCAAAGCTACAAAGACAAAAGCCTTCACACAAGAAAAATACATCAGGTACAGTTATACATGTAGCATATTTCATCTTTAATATAGCACACATTTACAGCCAACTTGGATTCTTTTGGTCTGATTTTTAAAATAGAAACGACACAATTTGAAGAACAAGGTTTGAAGCAGTTCGTCTTTTAAAGGGTCAGCTCAAAAAAGTACCAACGTGCCAAGCTGTGTTGCAGAATGTTAGATTTTTGCATATTCTATAAGCATACGGTTTCCTGTTGCTGTGAGTGCACTGTACTGTACTGTAACAGCATAGTGCACCTCTTCACGGCAGTAAAATGCATGTGCTGTGTTAGGAATAGTATCACTGTACTCAGAAACAAAATACATTATATAACAATTTAGCTGCCATTGTATGAGGCTTGAACCAGCAGTAGGCTGTCCTCAAAATGCACACAAAGGATTGAAATGTGGTTAACCCACTGAGCGACTGTACATAACTATGACTCCATTTTATCTTCCTGATTCAGTTTAACATTTTATGTCACAAAGTCAGTATACATATATCTCTTTCTGTATATACAGCCTGAATGTACAGTATCTGCTATTTCTTATATTATTTCTTAGACAAGATTTATAGTAATATTCACTACAATATAGTGTTTGACAGCAGAATTATAAAACATGAGCAAAATTAAATACTTAATTCAAAGCAAAATACAATGTCATTGCATTTTTCCTAGATTTTGTGGAATTCAGTATCATGCAGAAAATAGGTTCCCCAAGTAGTAGACAGGGTCTATCAGTCATATGTTTTTAAGTTATGCTGCAAGAATTTCAGTAATTACGTTCAATGTAAACAATTCCTTGATAAGTTCATAGTTTATATATGAAATAATATAACCCCGTTGAAAAACACAGGAGACAAAGGGATGTTTCAGCAATTAGGAGGATAAAATATCTCTGTATTCTCTCATTTATGGCTGCTTTAAACTTTGGCTTTTTTGGTTTACCTGTGAATTTAACACTAAAAGAAAAAGAAGATACAGTGCTATTGACGGATTTACTATGAAAGTAAATTCAATCAAATCTTAATTGTTACTTTTTTCTTTAAAAAAAACGATGGCATGTAGCTGCTCATGGGGAAATGAAAGTCCGTATATTAAATAAAATGCGTTCAGGTCCTCAAAATGCATATGGATAAAGTCCAAAGGAAGTATAATTAATAGAATGTCAGAAACCCATGAAATTGAAAATATCATTGTGGTCATACTATTGAAATTATCATACTATTGAAATCATCATACTATTGAAATTATATTATTGATTCACTGTTCATTTTAAACAGAAAAACAACTTTGCTAATCTACACTACAAGTGGTTCATATATAGTCTGTCACTCCAGATAGACTATGTAACTCATTTGAAACATATTATGGAGAGAAAAAAGAAACATTGCTCTGTTGTAAACTCTAGTCTCTGTAAACACTGGTGTAACACCAATGGATACCTGAAGGTTGCATAAAAAGGTAGCAGTAACAGGTGACACATCAGTCAGAGCTATCTACTGTAAATGAGCACAACAAAGTTCTAAGAAAAAACAGAAAACAGATCTACAAGGAAGTCGGGCTCACTATAAAGTCTAAGGTCCAGCAGAGAGTATAGAGCCACAATGACATATTGCAGCACAGTACTTCTCAGTGCATTTTTTCCCCACTTTGACATCAAATCACACAACGCACAAAAAAACATTGTTCCTACCATATAGCAATATACAAAGCTAATCTATAGAGTTACCGTGACATAATAAAACTGTGGCTGTTGCACAGAAAATACACACATATTGTATACTGCAGCAGTACCAGACAACAGCTTCTACATGTGCATAAAAGGCTGATTACCATGTTTCTAATGCTTTTAGGCTTCACTTAGCAGTTACATAACCTACACGTGATGCTAAATTAAAAAAAGAAAAAGACAAGTTCACCAAATAAGAAAGACAAAACACTTAGACAAACAAAGCTGATCACACTTAAGGAGATAAAACCCAAGCCATAAACAGGAAAACATGTCCAGAGATTCATGCAGTCACATGATTATTAAAATAGGAGGGGGAAAAGCAAAGGACACTGCATCAACAGTCAGAATCATGATGCATCCAAAACATTAGAATATAACAACTTAAATTCAACTGATTCCATCACATTTGTCTGAACATTTTTCATTTACATTGTGTGAAAACAATGGTGAAATATGCAGGCTCAGAAGGACCTTGACATACATTAATACACATGATGTTGCTTTTTTTAAAGTGTGGAACAGTGACGGTGTCCTAGATAAGAAACTATACTTATCTTATGGGCATTTTAGTAATTTTTCCTGCACTAAATAACAATATGAATTCATTAAAATATCACATCTGGCACAGTATTATGATATATGCCCTGCTAATTATGAATATACTGAGAAATCACAATATACCTGTATATTTACCTCCTTTAATGATAAATGTTTTATTTGGTCATCAGTGATTAGACAAATTCTGGAGTACATTTAGATCTGCTTTCTCAGTACTGCTCTCAGTAGCAGAAAGAGCTGCAACACAGGGACGTGACTGACACACCTCTGATCTCCAAATACAAATGTTTCCCAAAATTTAGGAAAAACTGTGACAGTAGACGGCAAACAAAATATTCACCAATTAAGTAAAAACTGCTTCTTTAAACAAGTTTATTCAAAGACAGGGCAAACGGGGTCCAGTGAAAATAACAGTCTGGGAGGGGGGTTAGTATATGATCTCTCATAAATCAGTGCTTTAAATAAATGCATAAAGTGCAATAATGACATATGGGACACAGCTGTGTGAAACCAAAAACATCCATTCACTGGGAAACTTGCTTTTTAAAGAGCAAATGCATGTATTAACGCAGAACTAAAGGGCACAGATAACACAAGCATGAGGAGGAAACAGATAATCAGTGTTACTCTAATACCAAGCAAACAAACAGTTAAACATAAAACCGTACATTGCATCTCCTCTGTGGGGAGAAAGCCAACAGCTGAATGACAGTTTGGTCCTATAGTACTTACATGTAAAGGCTAGACATGAGAGGCAATGAGGATGACAAGATGCCGACAACACAACTGTACAGATGTGACCTAAATACATTCTCATTGGATCAACAATGCAGTTCTAGTATAGAGGCAATTAAATTGTCTTGAAAAAAATATATATTTAAACTACACTGAGGTCACATCTTTGGGAGTAATTCGGGAGAGTTTCTACGGTACCCTGCACTCACAAAGCCTTTTCTCTCTACACATCATTAGTCTGTGTTCCAAAAGTAACAGCAACATGGCATCGTCGCTGTGCAGCCTGTAAAGACTCCAATGCACACTGGCTTCCTCTTTATAAGGGTTCATTTTATGCGTTTCATTTTACAGTCCTAAATCAATCGCTATAGTTTTGCATAGATACCATTACGCAAAATCTAATCACATTCTGTACTTGTAAAATATAAAACAAAACAAGCCTGTAAACATCTCTTTCACGACACAGAACTCAATCGTTTTAGATTTCTGACTGATAAATGAATATGAACATTGATATAGTAGTGAAAATGGATGATGTGATGGGCAAAGATCAGCACACCTAAAAAGTACAACTACAGTAATGTATCTGTGAACACTGTAGGACAAATCACTTGTAAAACAGTAGAAATTACCAGACAATTAAAAAGTGATTTTTTTTCTCATTTCCATAATAGTCATCTCTGCATGAAAACCAAAATGTCAAGCTATTAAGGCAAAACACGTATGCACAGTGAGTTGTGATTTCATGCATAACGATGACTGCTAATTACTGTGGTAAAAATCGAAACAGCATTTAATAAAAAACAACTTAGGTGGCAAAATAATGACTCATTGTCAAGACTTCAGAGGAAATTCAGAAAAAAAAAATCAAACTGGGTCTGACTCCTGTGACAAATTTAACAGGGATTAGCACAAAATGATTATCTGTACTTAAAGAGAATCACCATCTTGAGGGGTCAAACGCAACAGGTGTTTCCTCTGAGTCATCAGGCTACTCTGTGTTAACAGATGCATTCTATACTGTAGTTTGTTGAGGGGTTGCTCTGCAGTCATACTGTAGTTCTGTTATTCACTGACACAGAATAAGTGTTATATTTTCCTCAAGCTCTTTCAGATGAAACCCAGGCATCTAATATAAAGCAGAACTGGATGTGTCAGTTGCAAAAATAGTGACAACACCATGAACATGATTCACACCATAACTCGGCCGTAAATCATCTTTCCGGTTTTGAAGAGAAGGGAGGCTGGCAGCAGTCTTAAAAGCATTTCAATGCATTTTCCTATAATTAGGTTTCTTTTGAAAGCTCTCTTGTGGGGGTTGATTGGTGTGGAATTGATGCTCTGCACAGACGGGGCCGTTACCAACGCACTCCAGAAGTCTGGGTCTCTTGGTTTTATCAGATGAGAAACCATTGCCCCTGCCCCACCCCCACCCTACCCCCAGAGTAGTATCATTCACACACCTGTGCATGTCGTGCGGTGGTTAAAGCCAATCTAGACGAAACGCATCCTCTGTGGCAGGGTCAGCAAGGACCATGTCCGGGTCGTTGAGCATGTGCAGACCATCAAGCGTCAGTGGGTCGATTTTGAGGTCGTCCAGCGGGAAGTGGGAGTCCACATCGAAGTTGACATTTGTGGACAGTGGACCAGTCAGATCTTTGGGCAGGTTTGGGGGAGACTCTCCACTCACTAAACAGACACCAGGTGGCAAATAAAAAATAGCATTAGTAGTTAAAGGCATCAGCAGGCAGTTACTGATCTCTGGGAGGGGGGAAAATTCCCTGGTTAAAATTAGAAGAAACTCAATGGCAGAAAGAAAAGAAAGACTGCCGAGGAGGCTGGGTGATGATTTGACAATAACTTAGGAGGCCTGACATCTTGACATCTTAATTATACATTTCAGTAAAGAGGCAGTCAACAACAGACACTGCTAATTTTCAAAAACAACTGAAGGGAAAACTCAGTGTGCCTCTGAAATTCTGTTAAAAATCATTTTAATTGGTTTATCCTTAGATTTACAAGGGGTTAAGTTATAAATTAAGTGGCTATTTAGTTGCTGTAACTGCCAATAACCATAAATTTAGCAGTCACACTTACATCGAATGCAGAGCTCATTCAGTCATATTTAGAGATTGTCTTGCAGGAACGGCAGATTAACAACAGCAGGCAATTTAAAGCCAGGTTAAAAATGCATTATAACAATGCAATGAAACAGGTTTTTGTCAAGTGTATAATGCAATAAGTCATTGGAGCAAATATGTTGCTTTATTCTGGGCTGGCATTTTACTGCTGTCCAGTTTAGAGTCTGCAGTTTTCTGCCTCAACATGCCACTTGCACTAAGACCCCGAGGAGCCACATGATATGTCGAAATAGCACCTGTTAGAATGATGTTCGGGATGTTGCCATGGCTACTATAGCCCAGCTGCTGCGAGTCCTGAAGGTTGCACTGGCCACCAGTCAAACCCATCATCAGCGCATGGGAGTAGTTGAGGGTGGGGGTCTGGTTGTACAGGCTGTCGGTACTGATGGGGGTCTCAATCATGTTGAACTGCTCCAACTAGCGATGCAAAGAGATGTCATAACATGTTCTATTGCAGTTGTAGTTAAGATGTCTCACTTTAGACTAAGAGCAGATTGAAAGTAGAACTACACACGAGCATTTAGGCTTTTGTCTAACACAGACCTGTTGTGAGAGAGCACTGGCCTGAATGGAGGGCAGCTGCTGGTCGTAGAAGTCTGCAAAAATGCTGCCCAGTATGGAGTGATGCTGCAACAACAAACAGAGCACACCTGTTTATTAAAATGCAAGTAGACACTCCAAGCACGAGGCTGCAGAGGTTATACAGTTAACATGAAACAGGGAATATGAAAACAACTTTGGAAGAACTGGTAACAATTTTTTTTTAGGTGAGGTGTGCCAATTCACAATCAGAGCCTCCAGCATTCTTTGTACATATGATAGAATGTTTGTGTATAGTTTGCAGAACAGATGCTGTGCACACTTTAATGATTCTGTAATTCAAACATTGACACAGCTTAAATGTGCACAGACAGTAGAAAGGATGGCAAACACAGAAGAAACAATCATGTAATTAACATGTAGTACAGAAGCAACTTCTTCATCCTCAGTGGATGTTTCAAGAAAGACACAGAAACACCTGCTGTTTCAGTAATACATGAAAGCAAAACAAGACCTTACAATAGTTGCAAGATCTCAGTGTTTTCTGTGATATGCATATGGAATAAATCTTAGTTAATGCAGGTTTAAGTAAAAGTATAAAGGTATTAACATCTAAATATACTTAAAACCAAAAGTAAAAGTACTTTACTCATTAGACACAATGGCACAGTTCACATTAATGTATGTTATATTGTTGGATTATAGTTATCAATGCATTGTGTACATCGCATTTAATGTTTCAGCTGGTATAGTTGGAGCTCATTTTAACTACTTTATATGCCTATAAGTTGAAGTAGTTCACATACTGCTATGTAGCTTGTGAAGTTATAACCAGGGATCGGTAAAGTGTTATACTCTATTTTGTTCTATTCATCTTATTTTGAAAACTATCAAATAAATGTAGTGAGTGCAAAGTAAAATATTTTTCTCTAAAATGTAGTGAAGTCAATTACAAATCCTATGAATTAGAACTAAGGACAGTGCACACTCAGTATTGATATATGGAAACCCACCAAATGTCGTAAATCAGTTCACTAAAGATAAAGTCGAGGGAGCCTCACTTTCAAAAGGCAGCTCTTCCCACAGCTTCCTCTGCTGCCAGCTAGCCTTGGTCCTTTAATTATCATGAACCAAACTGAATGAAATTCACATGAAATAAGGGGAATCTTTGAAAATATAATCTCACTCCCCTCATTCATCTTCTGCAAGCTAATTCTCTTGAGGTTTCTCATTTGAATGTTCTCATTGAACCAGCAACAGAAAGTCTCCTATTTCATCGTCGACTCTTAATGTATAAGTAATTGGATCATATTCTCAGCTCGTGCTCCTCCCAGTCCAAATCCAAATTATCTGTGTGTGCTGCAGATGTCCCCACAGGGCAGAGCAGGATAATAAAGCACACAAGCCTTTCAGTTAGGGTACAGCCCATGGACAACCTCAGGACTACAAGTGAACCACTTCAGCTCAGGAAAGAATTGAGCTGGGTCAGCAAACAGCAGGACAAACATGTAGAAATGCACGCACGCACGCACGCACGCACACACACACACACACACAGAATATGTCGTCATCACCACTTGCCACATTCCTCTTTCTCCATCTCTCAAACACACAATGGCACACTATTCAGGTGAAATCCTTATTTCCTGATTATTTTGTTGAGCTTTATACATTTTCAGAAACAGAGCTTAATTCTTTCCAAACGCACTTTGGTACCACCTCTTCACCAGAGGTTGAAATCTCAAATGCTTATACTGACACAGATTAACAGCCCTGCTCCATGTTTACTTTGGGTGTGTTGAGTTTATCTTAAAGCACCGCCCTGTAAGCACAGTTCATTTTGTTGAGATTCAGCCATGGGAATTGTCTGCAGCTTCTCAACAGTACTTGAAAGGCAATTCCCCATTTTTATGTCACCTCACACCCCCCATGCTGGTGCAAAAAAAAACAACAAAAAAAAAACACACACACACATTAAACACAAATATCTGATGAACATAAAAACTCCAGCATAGAGTCTCATGTAGCAGGATTGGGAAAGAAACAGTGACAATGCAATACAAATACCACAGAATCAGCAGAGAACGAAGGTCAGGGACACAGCTACATCACAACACATCGATAACTGAGTGTTTCAAGAGACTGGTGGTCAGATCTGGGCAAATCAGGACCTACTTCAGGCTTTACAGTGGAATGATCATCTGGCATTTTAATCATATCATAATACTGTAAAGTGTGATATACAATTTTATCCAGTTATTTAAATGTTAATAAGGTATTACAAAGTTAAAATTCTCCTAGAACGTTTCCACAGTCATAATTACGATTAATAATAAGGGTGCTGTGTTTGTTGGAAAACTTCCAGTGAAAGAAAATGCCTCTGAATGTCCTGCTATGACATGTTTAAATGGCAGCTGTGTTCCTCTTATTACCATGACTTGGTTCTCACTGTGTAAATGGGTAAGTAAATGATATTTTAACCAACTTTAAGGAAAAATAGCCTGTTTTAATTAGATTAATCTCACTTTTATTCTTGAAGTCAACTGACACGCTTTTCTGTTTTGCTTTGATTTTTTTTTTTTTTTTTTTTTTGCCCAGATCTGCTAAACAATAAAAGCAGCTGTAGGGGTGCAGCCACAGAGTCCTACTCGGCAACCACAGAACTACAATGCAGGGGACGGTGAAGTTTATACAGAGCGAGCCAGCAGCTCATTGGTTCATACGCCCTTACTTGAGGCGAGCCTCCAGGTGAGAAGCCTTGATTGGAGACGGGGGAGGTTGGAGACTGATTGGCAGAGGATCCGACCCTACTGCGGTACTGTTGGAGGGAGGAGGCCTGATACAAGAGGATATGTTCAAGTTACTCACACTGGAGGATGTTCTACTGTTCTACTGAATATGGAGCTTTGCCTTACAGAATCATTTTAGCTGGAAATCATAAAGAGCAGCTGAGTTACCGATTCACTATCGTTAATGGTTGTAACCAAGAACACTAGTATCTAATTGGAACTAATATTAAATTAATTAAAGGATATGAACATAGAAAATGAATCTACGGTGAAGACCATGTACTACAGTACACGTCACTGCATAATTAATACTGAAAGAGATAAGAGAAACTGTAAAGACTGCAGGGAATTAATTAGGAGAGGAAAAATACAGTATTGCCAGCACTCCCAAGCTGAGCAACTACATACTGTAAAACTGGAGGAGAACCAACGCAATAAACCCACTTACAAAGTCAAAGGAAAAATAGCTACACAAACCAAAAATAAAATAATTATGAAATTCTATTCCAATCACAAATTGACTTAGGCAATACGCTACCAGGTGGAAGGAAAAACATCAAAGGTACTATCATAATAAATAACAGAGTAATTATTAAGTAATTCAATTTTAGAAGTGTGTAAAGTAATAATTGCTTATCATAAAAAGCCAGTAAAGCACCAGACTTATCAAAATACTGGTAGCAGGAGAGATAGAAGTGATAAGACAGTTCAAGGTCTCTGGTTCGAGACAGACTACTGCAGTAGACCCGTCTCACTGATAGAGGATGGTATTCTCCATCACAGGTACAGTGTAACTCGAGGCATCGTCCTGAAGCCATCTATGCAAACAAAGCACTACATAATATGAGCTAAAAACTACAAATCGACGCTATGTTAGCTCTAAGCCACAGTCCTACTGTGTTTCCTCACATTGTTTCACTTGAGTCCACACTGTATAAATCTGAGAGGAAGACAATGTAGGCCACTTCTTCTCTGTACTAATCCAAGCACATTCCCACTGCAACAGAAGAAGAGCAGCAAGAGCCAAGATATCAAGGACACAAAGTGCTTTGTAAAAGCATTCAGACTCCTTGATGTTTTGCACATTTTGTTGTGCTTTTTCAAGTGTGAAATCAGGGTTTTTTTCTGTTTTAGTTCTGTGCAAAGTAAAAAAACAACTTGAATTCTAATTGTGTTTAAGGACAAATCTGAAATATGAGAGAAAGCCCAATTGCGCTGTCACACATACATTTATATACACCATACAATTTTGTTTTCTTTTAACATAACTACCATATCACAGAGACTTTCTACAATAAATGCACTCTAGAACAACTTCACATTACAAAAAAAATGTGCACAGTATTTGAATACCTTGACAAGACAGCATGTATCACTAAGACCAACATGCTAATGACACCTGAAAACACATTTAGAGAAATAAGAACTCCGCCAGAGAAAGAACCAGTCATCACCAGCAGCTGCCGTCATAAAACCACACTGACACACTGGTCTGATACAGACAGATGAGTGCACAACTCACTGTGTTTATGTCCACGGTCATGTTGGTCTGTGAGGTTGTCTGGTTGTCTGACGTGGAGCAGGAGTTCACGGAGGATGGCAGCTGAACCAGACCTGTGTGCTGGAAAACAAAGAAGAGAGTCATAAATAGAAACAGATGTAGTTATCAAGTGTTGCTTTATTGTTTTAATATATGTAGTAGGTTTGTCACAGATACAATATGTGCTTTTACAGTATGCCTGCAGAAACAGTATGTAATAAGAATTAGTAGGTCATAAAAGGCCTCGTTTATAGCACCAATCGATTTTGTTGATACTTTCAGTGCAGCTTAATGCGTTTTAACATCCTCATGGTTTTAGTGCACAAACCCTAAGATTTAATTTTGCTTTCTTTCCAAACTGAAATCAATGTAGAGATGCATGTCAGCTGTTGAAGATTTTGCACAACCATTGTCAGAGTGAGTGCTGGATGGAAACTCACTTGCTGGCTGTGGTGGGTCTGGGACGAAGGCTGCTGGTTGAAGAAGGCATACTGGGGCAGCTGCTGCTCGAGGTTCATGTTGTTGATGGCCGCCTGGGAGGAGCACAGGAACTGATAAGGGGTGAGCTTCAAATATTTTATGGAAAATGCACTGATTCCAAAATTTCTAGTGTGCTCATCTGACTGATTTCCCCTCACAGCTTCTGAAACAATAGCATCACTTACTTTACACCTACCTAATGGAAAAAAAAGTTCCCCATGGGAACACCACAAACATATGCTCTTAACTGTAACAGAACAAAAAGTCAGGCTGTACCTGAGAGAGAGAGAGAGGCGGAGATGTTGGGGAGAGCTGCAGGTTCTGGTGCTGGTGGGAGTCTCCTGCGTTAAGAATGAGAGGAACCATGTTGTCCTGCCCAGGCTGCATTTCCATGGTTACTGTGGGCTGAGAGGTGTTCACTCCTACCCAGCACACACAAACAGCATTAAAGAGTTTTCTTAAAAGCACACATATTGTCTGAAACTGCTACCAGAGAGCATTTAAATGAAAAGTCATTCATATAGTACATTTAACTACAAGAAAGCCTAAACATTTACACAGTGTTACCTTGCGTGTTAGCCAGGGTCCGCACGCTGTTGGAGGAGCTGAACGAAGCGGCTGTTGCATCATCTGAGTCGAGCGGAGTAGGCAGCGGAGGAGGGAACTGGATGTTGGTCAGGTCAGGAAGTGAACCACCAGAGTTGTGGGCTGCTGGTTTCAGTGAGGTGGGCAACTGCTGGTCCGGAGATGGGAATATGCTGCAGAAAACAGATTGGTGCAGTGAACTCAGCAGCAACAATGACCTTAATACACTCTGTTAAATGTGATAATGAAGATGAACAGTTTAATGTACTTTCCTGAGCAAGACTTGAAAATATTTTCCAAGACAGAGGACTCCAGAAATATTTGGACTTGGTGTATTTGGCCAGTGGTTCTTTTGCTAATGCTTTGGCTCCACACTCTTCTTACTTTGGCAGTCAAATGACTAAATGAAAATGATGTTTAATTACAGAAAAATGGTTTCAATTTAAAGCTATGTTTTATTCATTTTTGTTCTGTGGGTGTGTGTATATATGCATTTATTTTGAAGTCGCGTTTGTGCACTTGACACCATTTTAGAACAGTGTAGCCACAGCAAACATTATTATTTTGATATGTTAATCCAACTTTAGTAAATGTCTCCTCGGGAAAGCTGTAAAGAGGAAAACCTGTAAAATACTCACTGGATCCCAGGAACTTTGCAGGGCTTGGACCTTGACATGTTCTAAAGAGGGAGACAAATTACAGCTAGGTTTTTTTTCTGATAGTGACAGCTGATAGAAAAACATTTATTCATGCCTAGACATCCCACCTTTTTGCAGTCCCAGTTCTGTTTTTGTCCGTCTTCATCAACCTCTTGTTTAATTGCTTCAGACCCTGGTATAGAAAGGAGAAGAACTAGAGAGATGGGGGGGATCTCCTCAGTCTCTTGGATCTACAGATGTCCAGCCTGTTTGAGCTTATAATAATCACAGCCCACATGTCCTCATTTAATGTGATCAAATAAAGATGATGTTTGTTTTTTTTTAAACTGAAAGAATTAATAAACCTGAAATTATTGCTCTGCCAACTAGTCAAATTCACGGATATGGACAGACATGAGGCCACTGACCTTGACCTCTGACCACCAAAATCTAATCAGTTCATCCTTGAATCCAAGTTGACAACTATGTCAAAATTGAAGAAATTTCACTTTCACGAAACTGGGCTAGACAAACAGATGGATAACCCGAAAACATAATGCCTCCAGCTGTCACCTCCACAAGAACATGAAAATAACCAGAAAGGAGACCAGAACTGTGTCATTAGGAAGGTGGAGAAAATTCAGAGAACAGTGGAAATAACAGATAAAAAAAATCTAAAAAATGACTCAATGGGATTTATACAAATTCAATCAATAATCCACCTTGCACAGCCATTAGCAGTAAAATTCGAGACAATTTAAATGCACCCCGTCTTCTCAGCAGTCATCTTCCTCCTCTGCCTATAAAAAAAACAGACGCTGGAGGGCACTAAACTAAACGGTCAAAATACCACAAAGACTGCCTTACAAAAACGGCCTCGACCATACCACCTACCACCGATAGTAAGAGAAATCCACCGAACAGCCTTGATAAGAACCGATTCATTACAATACTACAATGTGCATCTACTGGATGCATGTGTAGTGCTACAGGTTTACTCATATCTCAACCTAGTGGGCAATATTTAATATATACTGTTTAATTATCATGTTCTTACGTATCTTGACTTAATACAATCAAACTTTAAAATGGCAACTCTATAACGTGCACCTCGTTTTGGCTGGAGCTCCTGTGATCCTCCAGTGAAAGAGGCCTGCTGGGCAGGAGTGAAGGTGCTCTGGTGCAGTGCTGAGTCAGAGTTCGTCCTGTAGCAGAAGGGAAAAATCAGAGTAAACTACTGGGAAATCAAAGAAAGATCTAAATAGTACATATTTAAAGGCAGAGAAAACACATAGCATTCAGCTACAATGTTTTACTCTCCATAAACTGAGGTAACTATTTTATATGTATTCAACTACATGAAATATGTTTGATTTTAATCTAGTATAATCTGAAAGCGATCTTGTCTTTCTGATAGTAACATACATCTATAGTTAATGGGACAATTATGTCTCTGACAGTAATATTTAAACCAACACTTTAAATGGGTGATGATTCAATATGTTTTCACTGTCGGTTGGAATTTTAAAAGCCTTGTGGTGTGTTTCTAACTTCACTTTGAAGTCTTGTATCGTTGAGCTGACCCTGAACTAATTCAATAAAGTGTTGAGTCATAATTCTGAGGGAGGCCATGTGAAGGATTTATTATGTTTTTTAAATACAGTCATGTTTTACCTCCTCCAGCTGGTGTCAGGTGGTGGTGACAAATAAACTGCGCCATATGGACAGCTGTCAATGTGCGATCTCGGGTTAAGAAAATACAGCTGAAGAACGAAAGTCTTGGCAGATTCAACACATCCAAATCTGTGAATTCTTGAACACAAGCAGACATTTAAAAAAATAATAATAATAATTTCACAGTGCTGGTGGTACAGCTATCAAACCAAAATGGGATTTGATTGAGGAATAAGGGACGGTGAACTTCTCATCAGGGTCTCATATTTGTCATCTGCAATACTGACTGGCTCAATGTACGTGCTGCTCATTAGTATTTGGCAAGTGCACATACTTAACTACATATATACAGATTATGTGTCACCACTTGCTGCTGCGATGCAAAAGTGAAGCTAAAATATTGTGAATCATAGACCGTCTATGAGTCCACCCAGACGAGGTCTCATTAGCCAGAACTGAACATAAATAATCGGCAATACCGTGAATTAAGCTTTTAAATGAGATTCAGACCACAAAACAACATAACAGAACTCATCTCAAGAACAGTGCCTCTGCCCAACCTCACGACCCACAGACTCTAAGTGACAGCATTAAAGGATATCTGGCGTCCATGTTTGTCAAAAGATAGGGGTTTTCGGTGTGGTGATGTGATGCGGTTCCGGTCCCGGTAGACCCTGTCCACCAACCCGTGGTGCCGCGTTGATCTGTTTGTGTCCATCCCTGAATTCTGACAAAAAGAAAAAAGTGGAATAATTAGTTTTCACCATTTTTGTTTGTAATCCATCTGCAATATTGGACAGTACTGAATATCAAACACAAGCAAAACTGATTTATTCCTAAACTTTGAAGTCATATATTAAAAGAAAGTACTGCACTAGCTCATAATTGGCTGCAGTTACACTGTCCTTGGCCAACAGAAGACAAACAAGTGTTCTGAGCTCTTGCATCAGATGAGATGAGCATGTAGAACAGGGATGAAAGTTAATAGGCCTCAAGGTTAAAAAGACTACAGAAAATTAGAAAATGTGAAATTAAAAGTAGTATTTAAAAGTATTTCCTTGAGTGACTGTTACATGATTTCCCCTTCAAGGCTCCCAACATCTTCTGTCTACAGAAAAATCCAAATGAATAGTTCACCTAACTTGAGTTTTGCTGGATTATCCGATTCAGCCAGACTCAGTTTTTTCTGTGTCCTTAACAAAATCTAAAAGGTCTTATCATAAAGTCACTAAAATGCATTAACACCCATTACATTTCAATTTTCTTTTTTTCACGTGTGGCAGTATACTGTAAACATTTGTCTGGTGTATGAATGGAAGAGGAAACCATCCACAGCGATACACACAACAAAGGTTTTCTACTCCAGTGCACTGCAGCATCCGCTGGGAGCAAAGGCACAAATACTCCCTACAGGTGTAAAGCTTCAGTACCTTTGGTGCCTAGAAGCTGGGTTTGTTTCCTGAGCGTTTTGGGTGAAAACAGGCAACTTGAACAGCTTCTCCTTTGCCAATACACACCTGGTAGAAAAAACCTACTGCAGACTGTGGGGAGATCTATTTTTTCTACCTTTATCTAGTTTTTTTCTAAACTAAGTACAAAGTATGTTTAATTCCTTTGTAGCAAAGCACTGAACCCAAACAACTGGGACCTCATAGTGTTTCATAGTGTAGCTGCAGGTTGCATTAATATTGTGGAATATAATTTGGCCATGGACATGAGCATAGAGGATATTATAAGAGACTAATCCTAGTACAAATTATATAGTGGTAATATTTACTTTCCAGCATTCAAGACAAATGCATGAGTTATTATTGATTTTCCTGAATGATGAAGAAAACATTAGCAATCACTCACCTGAAAAGGCACTTCGACAGTGCTGTTTCCAATCTGATTAACGTTTGGCAAAGAACCTCCATAGTACTGGCCACGGTTCTGTCCCAGCTGCAAATACTGAGTCTTCTGCAGCTGCAACTGGAAACAGAGCAACACCAGGAAAGACGAGAGGGAATTGTGTGAACCTTTTAGAAAAAAACAAATATGGTCTGCCTTGGTCAAAGCATGTTGGAAATAAACCCAGCAGAGCGCTACAACATGATGTAGTCAGTAATAAGAATGACAGCTCAATGTAAATTTCAGCAGGAGGATTTTTTTAAAAAAAGGGAACATTTATACATCTTTATATTAATTCAACCTTAATTCAGTGCAAGTATTCACAATTGTGTGGTTGCATTATATAGAACAAAAAATACTGAATCTGCCTGATTGACCTGCTATATTTGCAGCAGTCTGAACTGATTAACTAACATGAGAAAAGATGGTACAACACTTAAGGTGGAAGTAAAGCATTTCGGAGTACATCGACAACAGCTGAAATTGCACTCGTGAATTTCCAAAAGCAAATTCCCAAACTAACTCCATGTTCTGTTAAGGAAGAGGACAATCAAACTCTTTTTAACCTCAGCTCGACGGGTACAGAGAAGAGCGAGAAACAGAAACCAGACAGAGGCTGAAAGGGTGAAGGAGGGGACAGGGTGAAAAGGGTGAAACTCTAAACCTGGCGCTTACTTCCCACAGGTCTATGTTTGGCTCAGACAAGAACTTCCTAACACTTCTTTGGCTCAGACAAGAGCTTCCTAACACTTCCTGTCTTCTGTGTGGAATTCCACATTCTTTACAGTAATGTCACAAGGCTTGGGGTGGTCATTTGATGGAGATCTTGTACCTTCTTTTCAGTGAGAGAGCATGCACAATAACAGGACCTACACCTATTTTCACCTGCACTTAGAAAAGAAAATAGGAAGAGTTTTTTCCTCTGTTTGGCCTTTTGGTCAGGCTAAATGTGCTGTTATAAGACATTAAAAATAGTTTAGATGACTAAAATC